CAACTAGTGCACCATACGCGTCCCAAGCCTTGGGGAACCACATTTTGCAGCATCAGCATCATACCTCCCATTACGCTCAACCGACACACGAACAGAACTACTACTCATCCAATCCCCCCTATAGCACAGCATCTGCATCCGGACAGTATTCATCTAGTGGTATGTGACTCTGATACCAACCTCTTTATCTGGGTACAAAGCACGCAGGAATTGCCTTTCACAGCCGCTGATACCCTGCTAGGCCTTCCTGAAATCATGGCGTCCACCGCTCAGATGCAGAGGCCTTATCCTCCGATTTACCACACCCCACAATCAAGCTCTCCGGCATCAGTCGCTTCTCAAACACATGATCAACATGGCCGAGGTCTTTATGCGCAATCATCGCAACTGGCGCCACAGATGTATGGGTACCAACCATATCCATCTATCAACCCTGTACAGCCTCCTCCATACGCAACGCACACGTCTCCCCAACAGCACCCGCTCACATCGCAATCTATGATTCTGCCTCATCATACAAGCACTGTACAGCTATCTCATCAGCCTCCCCAAACACCCTCTGTTACTATGGCCCCCAGTCCTATTGCCGTCACGGCTTCTCAACCGACACCACCCCAGAGAGCAGTGTTAAGCCCACCGCATTCTGCATCAGCTGGTGGTCCCCTTTCCGCCAATAGTATTCACCATACAACCCCAAGCGCCGGTGCAAGCTCCAGTGCAGCGCCGGGCCCAATCCCGGCGACAACTCCTCTCGTAGTGCGACAAGATAGCAACGGAGTCCAATGGATCGCTTTTGAGTATTCTCGAGATCGTGTGAAAATGGAATATACTATTCGGTGTGACGTCGAATCTGTCAACGTGGACAACCTTAGCCAAGAGTTCAAGACAGAAAACTGTGTCTATCCTCGGGCTTGCTGCAGCAAGGACCAATACAAGGGCAATCGACTTGTTTATGAGACGGAGTGCAACGCCGTCGGTTGGGCTCTTGCTGATTTGAATCCCGCGCTGAGAGGGAAGCGTGGACTCATTCAACGAGCCGTCGACAGCTGGAGGAACAGCAACCAGGATCCTCGACTTCGGAGCCGACGCGTGAGGAGAATGGCCAAGTTGAACCGGCGTCAGGGCATCCCTGCGCAACCCCCTACCCACATGGCTGCTGCTCCTACTGTCCCTCCGGGCATCCCAGCTGGTCTTGCTGCGCCCAGTTCCCGCCCCGGACTTGGGCCGTTGCCTATGGGTCCCCCACAGCTACACCATCACCATGCTCAACCTGAAGGTAGTGGAGGGAATGAGGATGTCAGCGGTATGTTTCACCACATGTGATGTGTTTGAAGTTCATTCCATTCTATAACCTATAACTGTTGTTGGATTTAACAACGGTGTCTATGATCGATAATCATGTAACAATCTTCATTGCACGACCCTTTCGTATGGATACCACCGGCTTGGGTGATTTTTCTTTCTTTTTTTTCTTCATTGCCTCTGCTTATCTTCAAAGAATTCCCTTCGCTTCTACCTTCTGCATATATTCTTGTCGTCCCTGGTATTGTCATACTTGATGTACTTTTATTATCTTCTGGAGTGGTTCTCTTCTCAATTGGCAACCCATACCCAATCGCGTTCTGTTTACTGTGTCACCATGGGTGCTGGATCCCTCTACGCCTCGAACTGTGATGTGCCATGTGAAACTGAGCGTAGGCTAATTCTATATATTGTCATACTATTCATAATATAGGTACCACTGAGTTTTCGAACGGTACCGATCGTCAGCCTGCTGCGGAAGCTCCCCTCACGTCAGGACATACAGCCACAGATATCCGCACCGCACAGGTCTTCCACGGTTATCCTACATTCCCTACATCTGCCAGTGCAGGAGGTGGCTCTAGAGGGCCATCGATACCCCCCTTGATACGAGACAGCGGACTAGGAGGCCTGGGGAGAAATGCAGCTGTTGCGACTTCAGTCCAAAAGGCTGAAGAAGACGAAGACGACGATGACGAACGCAATCCAAGCCATGAAGCACTCTTCGGAGCATTGCCTGACGGGAAGCGGCGCAAGTTCATACTTGTTGACGACCCGCAAAGGGGTTGTCGCGTCCGTGTCAAGGTTATGCTGGATCAAGTTAACATGAACGAAATTCCGGACTCATACCGCATGTCTAACTCGGTGTATCCGCGGACCTACTTCCCCGTGCAAATGAAACATCCACGTGGTCGAGCCGTTCCTGGAAGAAGATATTTCAAGGACGACCACCAAATGGATGGCGACCAAGAGACTGCGACGGTCGGAAGGATCCTAGTTCCAGCACCCCAGACAGATGATGGCGGCGAAATCGCTGTTCCTAAGCTGACTAGAGGACGGCACAGGAAGGAGGTTCTTCTCAACGACTTGGGTTACCGAATGAGTTGGAGCCAAAGTCGAGTCTTCGCTGGGCGACCGTTGTTTCTTCAACGCTCTCGTACGTTGCTGTCCCACTTGCTACACTCCTTGCTGCGTGGCGGTTCCCTTCCCGCTTGCGCCAGTGAAGGAATATTCCGTAGCTAACTTTATTTCCTTGCTTTCTTTTTTGGGAACAGTTGACGCGTACCGGAACAAGATGCGCAGCACCATGCTAGCTGCAGGCCAAGATCCCTCCTCCATCCCTCGCCATTTCGAGACACGGGCCGGAAAGCGAAGATTCCTCGAGCGCAGACAGCGCCAGGGGATGTCTGCATGTCAACGGAGCGCAGAAGAGGTTGGACCCTGAATGGAACAGACGTGGGATAGACTTTGTGCTAACAGCCTGGGGCTACCGCATTTTATGATTGTTCTATGATATTTTATGATGATGTGGCCAGCTACTTGCTACGACGTGACGACACTATGAAAATTCCGAACTTGCCGCACTGTCGAGCAGACAGATTCTTGGCAATGCGATCACACACGCCCAAAACGGCGGATTTGATCGTTTTGAAGTCTCTTGATGAAGGGATGAATAGGTTTTCATTAACGGGGCAGGCGTTTGAGATGATATTTGACTTCTGCAATGATTATACAAGGACTGTGATGACTATGAATATAAGGTATGGATGTGAAAATGAATGCAATGATGGATTTCATTTCTTCTCTTTCGAGATCTTTTGACGTGGATGAAATCAATCATCAAGGGTCAAAGCCTCATGATAGTAACAGAAACTGAGACAAGCAATGATCACATGCGGTATTTGAGCCAATCAGGATGCTTTGCCCTTCACGGTAATGGAGAGCCCTAAGGCAAAAATGGAAAGATGCATGGTGCAGCAGAGAAGTTACCTTACCTGATTGAGTTAGATAGGGTTACCTTGGTTCCGGAAACGCCAGTGGTAAAAATAAACCAGCCTCGGGAGGATGGTACGACTCGTCTTGCCTCGCATCTGTCTGCATCCGCTCACGCAGTTCATTGCATTTGTATCATCGTCATTAAATTAAGATGGATTGTTCTTGGTCGGCAGTTGGAGGTTTCAGATCCTCCAAGTTACAAGAATATTAACCCCTGTTGGATGGCATGAATCTATTGACTTAATGTATCTAACCTCGAGGTAGAAACATGTTATGTAGTCCATCTGTCAAAAGATGTACGTATTTGTCTATCTGATTTCTGTCATTTGACTGCGCTAATTGTATTTCTCGCGTGGCGTCAAATAGTATGGATTGAATTAATCTATTGAAAATGCCGGCTGCAGTAAATGAATTTCAGTCTGACTACGTAATTTTCGCTTCTCCAGTTCTCCACGCTGGGGTTTACCGCAACCAGGGTCTTTGACTTTGAAAAGGGTAGAAGAGTCCCTGACAACGTGGATCCTACTCCGTAGACCCTCAGCGGCGAATCAGCAACACATCGTTGGGCTTGAGACCACGATAATTACTGGATTATGGGAAGCAAATATGATGAGAATACAGTAAACCAATAAAACAGCAAATGAGTGCATTCTAAATAGAGGCATAGTGATATTTGGAGTGAATCATTGTGATAGACACAAGGCCGACGGACAGCACTAAATCAGGTTGTCGGGGCCACCAGCCGACCGTCAGCAGCATCAACATCATCAGCATCCTCAAAGAGTCTGTGCTTGATTCGGCGGCTGGAAAGTCATCCTCTGTACGGAGTAAAATCATAACATACAGTGTTCCGCATGCAGTCACTAGTTTTCTTTCCCCTCACATTGCTTCTTTCATGTTCGTGAATCGGTCATTTGAAGCGACCTTGCCTTCTTTGTCTGTCTGAATTCCATCTCGCTCCTAAGGTACACTCGGTCAACTCTTAGTTTTCGGGAATTATTCGACTTCCTGTACTCTGTATCAAACAACGACATCGACATCAACAGCGACGACTATTGCGATGCTAGCTTAGGCTTCCGCCTTCTGGCGTTTTCCCCTCGCATGATTAGACACTGTCTACTCCTAGGTAAGTGTTCCTCTGACACAAATCTTATTGGTGTCTGCCGATTCCCAAAAATATCCTGTCAATGTCGCATTCTTCTGCCATGCTTATTACGGAATGCTCCTCGCCCCGGATCTGTCTAAAGGAATTCTTCGGCTTATCGAAAATTCATGAACTTGCAGTCAAGCTTCCATGCTCCCAAGTTCCCACCGCTCAATATTTCGCACTTTCTTTGTTCTTCCTGCCTGTTCCTGAAATATCACAAGTTCTCCGCTGTCATCGCTTCAAACCGTGGTTCGACTCGGTGGCCTGTCCCGCTAATTCAGTAGGTATTATTAGGTGTCAGTTTCATAAAAGTCGCGGCCTGGACCGGATTAATTAAACGTGATCGGTCAATCTGATTAACTTTCTGGCGCAACCTGGCTCTTCCATCAATCTGCCTCCTTTTCTAAATCCAGAACCATCTTTCCTTCCCATCATTGGCAGTCGAAGCGGACATCGGTGGTTTGTCTTGACCTACCACAACTGCCATTTCGTGTACCGGAAAGTGCAGAAGAATCCATACAAAAAGAATACGAGCGTGCTGGTTGTGCTTTGAATTATGTCCGGTCCCAACCGGACTTACAGTTTTGGCGAGGGCGACGACGGTTCAGCACATCCATCTTCCAGAACTCATGCCATGCACTCTCAGTACGACGATGTCTCCCAGATCTCCGACGGAGCCCGCATGAATCCGACGAATGGTCTGGGAATGGACCACGGACTTGCCTCAGTGCCGGAGGACGGCCATCGGGGATGGGGTCGGGGTCCAGAACCGTCACCCTCGATACTTACAGGTTCATCAGCGACCCCGGGGTTGGATAATCTGGGGCCAGGGGCCGTTGGAGGCGGCATTAGCGGTATTGCTCTCAGCGTTGCCAATAGCCACGATCGTTTGAGTGGAGTGGAGGCCCTCATGGGCACAGAGGGCCAGGAGGCTAATATTCCTGCAGAGCGAGGGTTCGGTACCACGGGCTCCGATAACCCATACATCCCTGCGCCGCCGGAGCATCGATATTCGTACGGTTCTAATGTCGCTTTGGGGGCAGCCGCTGCCCCGGCTGGACAGTTGACCCCGGGTCAATCCGTTTCGCATCTCAGCTCGTCGAATCCATCGCAACGCAACCTATATGATATCCCGTATCAGGGTGTAGGGGGTCTGAACGCCGGTCCCTACCAACGGCACTCGGCTTATAGCTCGAATGATCTGCCTGTTGATATCAATCCAGACGAGATCGTCGATGATGGTGATGACGGTTTTGCGCCGGCGCCAAACTCCAGATCTGGAGCTCGCATTCAGACCGTTCCTGCGGCGGCTGGAGGTGCAGCAGCAGGTGGGGTTCTGGGGAATCTGGGAGGGCTATTCGGGGGCAAGAGTGCTGCCGATACATCGTATGGACCGGTTCCGGGAGCTGGTCTTGAGGCTGGAGAGAAGGGTCGCTGGGTGAAGCCGAAACCTGGAGGGGGTAGCAGGAAGCGCGGATGGATTGTGGGGGCAATCCTGGCTTTCATCATTATCGGGGCCATCGTAGGAGGTGCGGTCGGTGGTACAATAGGCCACAAAGACAATGCGAAGTCATCCTCGGCTTCCTCCTCTTCCACACAAACGGCCAACGGCGACACAAGCGCCAACGGGGATCTGGATAAGAACTCCGCCGAGATCAAGGCCCTGATGAACAACAATAATTTGCACAAAGTCTTCCCCGGTATTGATTACACCCCGTGGGGTGTTCAATACCCGCTGTGTCTAAAGTATCCTCCATCTCAGAACAATGTGACCCGGGATATGGCTGTGCTCACGCAACTAACAAACAACGTGCGACTCTACGGTACGGACTGCAACCAGACGGAGATGGTCCTTCACGCAATCGACAAGCTCGAGTTGAAAGACATGAAAATCTGGCTCGGTGTGTGGATCGACAGTAACGAAACGACGTCAAGACGGCAGCTAGATCAATTGTACAAGATCATCGATGACGCCAAAGATACTTCCATCTTCAACGGGGCTATTGTTGGTAATGAAGCCCTCTTTCGAGCAGGAAGTGACAAGGCGTCCGCGCAAAGGACCCTCACCAACTACATGCAGGAAGTGAAGGACTACTTCAAAAAGAAGAACCTTGATTTACCAGTCGCAACGTCAGATTTAGGTGACAACTGGGACGCAACCTTAGTTCAAGCGGCAGATGTTGTCATGTCCAACGTGCACCCTTTCTTCGGAGGCATTCCGATCGATCAAGCTGCGGCTTGGACGTGGCAATTCTGGCAGGATCACGATGTCGCCTTGACCAAAGGCACCAACAAAAAGCAGGTCATCTCTGAAGTTGGCTGGCCCAGCGGTGGAGGAAATGATTGCGGGAGCGGTGCTAATTGCCCGAACGACACAGCGGGTTCAGTGGCTGGCATCGACGAGATGAACAAATTCATGGAAGACTGGGTCTGTCAAGCCCTGGAGAATGGCACGGATTACTTCTGGTAAGAACCCTACAACCGCCTTAAGCAGTCGACTGGTTTCAAGCCCAGCGACTAACAAATTCCCCAGGTTCGAGGCATTCGACGAGCCATGGAAGATCCAGTACAATACTGCGAACGAGAATTGGGAAGATAAATGGGGTCTCATGGACGCGGCTCGTAACCTCAAGCCTGGCCTCAAGATTCCCGACTGTGGCGGCAAAACGGCCACTCGGTGACTGTGATGTCCCGTTTTCGATTTGACGCTCGATACAATAGCTTTTGGCACCGTTTCCCATCCATCTATCTTTGCACATGAAGCCTCCCCCAGCCCATTTCCTTCTATTTTATACATCCTTGACGACGCATATCCTGACGAACCTTCACAAGTCTTTGGCTTTTGGCGTTGGTCTGCCTTTTCTTTTCTCCTTGATTGTGTACGTTACCACCTGTTGAATATTCTCATCCTCGGTCGGGGTCAGAGCTCCAATCTCCGGTTGCCAGTGATTTTCGCATGGCTTTGTTGGAAACTTTGTCTCATATTGCACATGGACACTCCTTGCTAAGATACGCTTGTTGATGATTGAGGGCACATCTGTATATACCATAGCAGGCTCTCGCTGGGGTTTAATTTGACGACCATTGAACCTGTGGAATGTTGAGTGTTTTGGGATTGTAAGAAATATCAATCGCCATTGTGACAGTGGTAGTAGTCTTCTACTCTACATACTTTTATATAATCATGAATCATCAGTACTGTCTCTATGGACACAAAGGGGTATATACTAGTCTGTCTATCTGAGTCCCGCGCGCAGAACCCACCATACTCGTTTCAATCTCAGTCCTTCTACAAAAGGTACAATCGCATATTCCAAAACGCATGCTCATTGCTTCCAAAGGTAGGGATTCGCACTGACTCCCTGGTGCCGAGATACCGACCCACAATCTCGGACTCGATCCCCTCCAGGGGACCCCCGAAGAGCAACGGCGGATTAGATGAGAGCAATTGCTCAAGATGCGTCCGTTCCGCACCGGGACAGTACAGGAATGACCGATCGGAGACCTTCGCAAACCCCTCGGGGTGATCGAGAACACTGATCCCGAGCAAATTGAGAAGCGACCGGTCGAGCTGGTTGAAGACAGGATCTTGGGCGTAGGCGGTGATCGAGGGACAATATTTCTCTAATCAATGGAGACGTGCACTCGTCAGTCAATTGGTCTTTCCATACGAGGCGCATGAATATACTGATCGCAACAATCGACTTACTGATCGACTCCGTTACGCACACCAACGCAGCGAGCTGATACAGCGACACACTCCGGCGATCTACCCACCCCCCTCGCAGAAACCCGCTCGGGCTTCCAAGGCCAATGCAGACGATGTTCTCCAGTGGAGTCGCGCGGGCATCCGGATCAGCGATTGAACTGGTCCCTTCGAACCTCCTCCGGAGTGTATCCGCCATCACGCGCCATGTCTCCGATCCCTCCCATCTCTCGCGGTACCCATTGAACTGGGTTTGAAGGTCATCTAGTGTCAATTGCGATGGGGCTTCGGCTGGGATCAGCGACGGGGTTGACGACTCTCCGTTGGCGCTCTGGTTGGGGCGCAGCGCCCGTCGCACGTTTTTGTTGGTGGTGACGTGCGTCCAGCCGTCCGCGTCGGTGACTTGCAGGCGTTTCTGCTGCTGGAGTTTGGAATCGGTTTTCCTGGGACGTCGTGTGTGCGGCATCTTGTTATATATGTTGTGTCTGATTGCCTTTGGAGAGTATGCACAGTGATGTGATGCTCACGCTGCGGGTGATTTTTGTTATCTTTATCGGGATGGTTATCGGCGGTGGGGTGGAGCTTATCGTGGATCTTATCTTATCGGACTTTTTTTAAGTCTCATCTTGTGAAGTCTCATGAGCTACGCACTCAAAGATTACGAGAATGTGTCTAATTGAGTGAAATTATCATGTCAGCTTGGGATCTATGCACATAACTGAGAATAATACAGTATTGGATTGGTGCCCACAATGGTAGACTATGAGCTTCGAATGAGTTGCCGGAGCGTGCTACCATCCGCCAGAACACATTTATTCCAAGTCCAATGTCAAAACATCCGGAAAATCGAGATGTCTATGACTGTCATACTAATCGCCAGTATTTTCGAGTCTTTCACGAAGCAGGATAGAACGAAGCAAGCGTTACTCACTCGAATTGATGTGCATCCATCACAGTGATCGCCCCATACTGCTGCACTCACAGAGGATCTCTAAGCGCCCAGCCCCATGACATCTCCCCTCTTCTAGCGTTAAGATAGGGGCGCTTCCACCTCCTTTGCTCCACGAATCATCGGCTCAGAATGGCTTCAACCATCCCTGCCAGGACGTGATGCCACTTGCAGCCCAGTGTCTTGGACGCCCCTTCGATCCAATCCGATGGCGAGATTGGTTGTCCCCTCACGGGCGCAACTGTTGCCAAATCTCAACAGACCTCTCAAGCGGAGAGAAATGAGGCAGACGCGACCGCCAATTTTCCATCTTTCAACCTGCGGGTGTGGTCACATCAAAGTCTCCTGCATTCTCACTCGTCCAATTCTATTCGCCTGCGTGCAGTAGTCAAGTCAGGATGTGAAATGCTGCTGCAGGACCTGGCCTTCGGGCTTTATTCGCTCTCTTTCAAAAAGACTTGAACGCCCCCCTAATTTGGTTCCTCTGGCTGCTGCTCGCGAAGCTTATTTTCCCTTTCCTCTTTGATGATGATCATTCTCTGCGGTTCGGACGGTTGAACTGTTCGCGAACTCCTTGACTTGACTCGAACACTCCCGTAGGAGTTTCACGTCCGGAAAGTAGACGGTCGTTCTCTTTTGTTTGCAGGACTACTTCTGCTGTTGCAGTTGACTTCATTATCCCTTGCCTTCCGTGAAGGTCTCACATACATCATGGTGCTTCAATTTTCGATATCGCAATGGGCAGCGCTCATCGCACTGCTGTGCGCTGGACTGGCCAACGCCCACACCGTCATCACATACCCAGGCTACAGAGGAAACAACCTCCACACCAATGGCACTGTCGAAGAGTCAAATGGTTTGGGGCAAGCTTACTATAATGGCTCGCTAATCTATCCCTACGGCATGGAGTGGATGTATCCTTGTATGAACTACCCGGCTGGCCTTCGAGTCCGTCCATGAACGTGTGCACAGCTAATGGATAATCGTATCATTTTGGCAGGCGGAGGCATGCCGACGAGCACTAACCGAACGAAATGGCCGGTCAAAGGGGGCGCTGTTGCCATCCAACCTGGCTGGTTCCAGGGTCATCAAACTGCCCTCATCTACATCAACCTGGGCCTGGGCACAATCCCTCCGAACATGAGCCATCCTATGGTCCCTCCCTTCCAGATCACAGGCCCTACCAATAACCCTTACCCTGGTACTATCTGTCTGCCACAGGTCCCACTGCCGGCAAACATCAGTGTGCAGCCAGGGGACCACGCCACTATTCAAGTTATCGAGACTGCCAAGCACGGTGCAGCTTTGTACAATGTATGTCCCCTGCTCTTCACCGAGTAACTGAATCTGACCATGATGCAGTGCGTGGACATTGAATTCGCGGAGCCGTCGGAGGTAGAGGAAGTGACGCGTAACAACTGCTTCAACTCGAGCATCATCAGCTTTGGCGAGGTCTTCACGACAACGTCGCTCACATCGGCGGCAGCGCCCAAGCCGTCGCTGATGAGCATACTGCCTGTGTACATGGTAGCACTATTCAGCTGGGCGATGATGTAGATACTAATTTCACTTTGGCTGTTGTGGTTTGTCTTTGCATTACATACCCAGTTTGAGTGTCCTATTTTTGAACTTCGCGAGACTTTCCTGACACCTCACACTTTCCTTGCGAGCCTCGCATTCTTATCCTACAGGCGTTATAGGCTACGAACCCCATAACCGGAGCAGATACCTATTGATCAAAAAGTCAAGATACAGCTTCAGATGCTAAATTGACTAATTATTATATACCATATATCCAAATACGAGTCTACAGGTTCATTACGTGTTCATTCGAGACTACGCACCAGGCGCAGAATCGCATTGGCAACCTCATCTGGACTCTCCTGAGGCGCCCAATGCCCAACTCTATCAATCAACCTCAGGAACCTAAAGTCGCTGCACACCTCCCCATTCACCATCTTCTGCAACGCCCCTGGTTCCTGGTAAATTCCCCAGTCCATCTTCCCTGACACAAAAGCACAGGGCACCTCGATTTTCTTGCCCGCGAATGTGTCGAAATCCCGTGTGAACCGACCATCCGCTGCCGTCCGCACTCGATACCAGTTCAGCCCGCCCTGGAACCCCGTCCGCCCATACTCCGCCACATAAACGTCCAGATCAGAATCCGGCAGCCAAGCCTGCGAAAGCTGCTGAGCGTTCTCCGGCTCGTTTTTCATGTCCAACGCGATGGCTTCGGGCATGGTAGCGTCCAGCGGCATGATGTAGTAGAATGGTAGCTGGAGTAGTTCATCCGCTGTCCAGGACTTCAACGGACGCGGGTAGTTGCGCGTGCACGAGCCGCTCTTGAGATGAAAGTACCCACGCAGGAACTCGTGGAGTCGGCCCGGGGTGAGGTTCATCTCGTTATTTGCAGAGGCGGTGGAGTAGTACCATTTGTAGTGTTTGCGGTTGCGGTGGGCCAGCTCGGTGTGGATGCTGTTGCTGGCGACGGATTCCATGCCCCCGTCGCTTCCTGGGGTTCCGTGGTCATGGTCATGGTTGTTGGCAGTGTTGAATGGCAGCGCTGGCGTGCCGTTGAACGGGTGGCTCAGCAGGAGCACACTCTCGAAGAAATCCGGTCGGATCAATGCGCACATGGCGGCGGATACGGCGCCGCAGTCGTGGCCCACGATGCAGCGCACGGAGCGGTACCCCAGTGCGTGAACGAGAATCACCATGTCTCGTGCTAGCGAGGTAAGCGAGAAGGTGGACAGGTCTACCTCGTCGTGGCTGCGGGTGTCCCAACCCGTGGTGCGGCCGAACCCCCGCTGGTCGGGGGCGACGGCATAGTATCCTGCCTCTGCGAGACGGGGAAGGATCTTGCGCCACGAGAAAGCCAGTTCGGGGAAGCCATGGAGAAGCAGGATCAGAGGACGGTTGCGGTCGGGAGAGTAGCCAGCCTCGAGGATGTGGAAGTTGAGGGCGGAGGTGGAGATGGATCGACTGGAGACATGAGGGGGAAGGGGGAGGGATGCCATTGTTATTTAGATATCACTTTGCTTTGGATGTTGATGGTGAGATGTATCTACCATGCAATAGTTAGCACGAGCTTTGTGCATTCGTATCGTATCGATAGATAGATGTCTTGTTTGTCTTGTTTCCTGACTCATGTAGATCTACATTTCTCCACATTAACGCCGAGTATATATATGTTGGAGACTCCATAATGATCAGCCATATTGATTACCCGAACATCAAGGCAAAAAGGCAGACACAACTCAGTTGTTTATTGGTAGCCTTATTTTCAAGGTACCGACTAGGTGGAGGTGACAGATGCAACCTCAGGCACCGACACCCACACCAGCCTACATCATCGATGCCTTACAGAGGACATCAATCCTGCAGCAGCTCTGCAGTACGTAAGAAGACCTTAATCTAACTCTGTTGGAGAAACTCTAGATCCTCATCAAGACAAGAAAAAAGTTAAAAGAGAGCCGATCCACCAGAGCGACCAAAGGGGAGAAAGAAAAGTCGGCAATGCTCAATCGCTCATTGATCTGACTTGGATCGGCCTCCAGTCCATGACGCAAAGTGTGCCCCTTCGATCCGCACTCACTCACATTTTGCTCTTGATCGGCATTATCCCCCTTCTTGGGAGCTGGGACTGGCAACTCCCCTCTGTTCATCGTCATTCGGAACTGACTTCTTGATTTCTTCATTCGAGTTTCGCATCAATTTCGTCCATCCTTCTTTCACCCCTGTTCCTCTAATTCGTCTCCCTTTAACACATTCTTTGAGGGATCTTCCGGCCCTTTTTTCCGCATCCCCCCTCTCGTTGACAACGCAGCACATATTGCCGGGCAGTCCGAGGACTTTTCAAACGTGACGGGGTTTACGGCTAGAAGAGCTACCAATAACTACCTGTCGCCTGCTCTGCATGATCTGTATTAAGGTACAGTGGCAGATAAGGCACGAAGAGCAACCCGTGTCTTTGTCGACGTCAGCTTCCATGTCCGCCGTTTGAGGGCAGACGCGACAGTATCGAGTTTCTTTCGCTGGAGGACCCAACATGTTCCGCAGAAAGAGAAGCACATCTCGCCATCAGGTGAGCTTTGCAGTTTAGGCGTATTTCGCAAATTAAATTAAAATTGGCTGAAGCTGATTCTTATTGCTATCCTCTAGCCTCTCTCTACGGTAAACTCACAGTCCGCCCAGTCGGCTGCCACCCATGCCTTCCTTAAATCCCAACCGTCCTCAAGCAGCCTGTCTTCTGCTGCGGCGGCGGCGGCTCTTCGAAGTCTCACACCTACTCCGACGCCCGTGGAAAATGTCCAGACAAAGAGAATGCTTCAAAGACGGGCCTCCGTAACTTCGCAGACCAGCATGACAGGTAGCCTCCGTCCAGGCAGCAGGACAGCCCTTCGTCGCAGCAATAGCTCGAGCTCCATGAGCAACAGGACGTTCCGAGAACAATCCCCGCATCGACCTGCTACCAGTAACGGTCAAGTGGATGTCGTCCCGCCCCTGCCGTCCATGCC